GGGACAGTGAACTCTGCTGACGGAAACAAGTAGGTCTTTTGGGTGAGAGATTCAAGACAGCTGCAATTTGCTGAAATTTTTACAACTGCTTCAGAGAATAATTGTTCAGAATTTAGTCTTTACAGTTCAATTCAAAGTTGGCATTTTGACTTTCACAGCACAGATAATATCAATTTCTTTCTGCTGTCTGCAAGAAAGAGAAGATTGTCCATTTGAGCTGGTTTTATTTTTCAATTTATTGCAGTTAAAAAGACTAAACATAGTAACCTCTGGGTTTGGGGCCAGGCAGCTACAACTCAGGAAAAGAGTTGGACTAAGACACATCTTAGTTGGGGTTTTATTATATCTAAGAACCAGCTGTTAAATTCTGGTGCCAGATAAGACATAACTGTGAGTGTTGCTGAGGCTTTGGTTAAATAGGGTGTTGGGGAAATTAAAATATGTTAATGCTCTGAGTATTTTATGAACATGTCTGGTGGCCAAAGTATTTTATGAAAAGATTCTTCCCAAGAGCTCCAGAGGAGAACATTCTTGAGTTGCCAGTCACTCTGCTTTCACCAGAAGTGCTCCAAAGAGGGTACTGACAACTCGGTTTATTCCATCTTGCTGTTCTAAGCACAAACTGATGCAATGGGTGGCCACGAGAAAGCAGACTCAAAAAGAAATTCAACCAATTGCTCAAAGAGTTAAGGACAATCCAAATGCCAGACGGAAATCCTGAAGCTTTACCTGTGCTCCGTTATTCAAGGACAAATTACATGGCTGTGGACATCTCCTCACTATCATGTCCTCACTGTAACCACACCTGCTAGAAGCTTTTTATCATGTGGCAATTAGTAGGGGTTGAGAAAGCCTACAAGTGGCAAATGGGCTAATGATGCAAGAGGAGAGAGAAACTGTGGAAAGGAGCAGTGAAGAGATTTTGGTAAAAGAATGGCACTACCACTGGGAGGTGTCATCTAATAGCCTTTCTGTGTAATGCAAACCAATGTGCAGGCCAAGGAAATGGTCCAAGATAGTAGGTTAAAATCCAAGCTAATCTGGTTTGCTAATGCCCTGGCTGCACGGCTCTTATTCAGTCTACCTTTACCTTCACTTTTGGCTGCACAAACTGGGCCCAACTAACAGGAGCTTCCGTAGTATTGCTGCTACACCATGAGAAGAGGCACCAGTGCACATGAAGCACTCACACAGGTCCTGATGCATGGTGAAGTCAAAGTGAACTGTTAGATCATTAGCAGTAACAGGAGCAACCACTGTATCACAGTGACCAAGTTCACTGACATCCCACTTGGCCACTTGCTGGCTGCATGACTTTAAACACATCTCAATACTAGATCTTCATCTTTCAAAGGCAAGTATTATCAGAAGCAACTCCCGTCTCCATGAGGATTAGCCCACCTCCACAGAGTTGATTCTGACTTATGGTGACCTTCCACCGGCTTTCTGACGCTGGCAAACTTCACAGTAAGAGACTGCCTGCCTCTCTCCTCTATGGCACTGGGATTCAAAGTGCCAGACTGTCACTTAACAGTCCAACACATACTGCACAACACTGCCAGGGCTCCTCCCTTCGTGAAGATGAAATGGGTTCATGTTGGAATAGAAGAGTGTCCTGCCTGTTTTAACTGCTGGATGCTCAGTTCTGTTATTAATTACCATGGAGTCAACCATGTGAGTCCACAGCTCGCAGCAACCCTTCACTCAATAGATGAGATGCTGCCTGCTCCGGCACTATCCCCACGATCAAGTGTGGACTAGATGTTCTTGAAACATTGAGTTTTAGCTGACTGGTCATTTCCTCTTCATGTTGTAGTGTAGCTTAGCATCATCCATCTGAGCACTGTCTTTACTGAAAGGTTCATTGAGGAAGGGAGGGAGGATGTTTTCAAGTGCAATTGCAAATGATGCTTTTCAGAAGAGAAGTTGTGGGTGAGGACCTGAGTGCAGAGACTGGAGTACTGGAGTGAAGCACATGAACTAAGACAGCAGAGATGCCAGAGGAAGGTTTGGCTGGGAGATTGGGGAATAAAGGAAAGTAAGTGGTGGGGCAGGGCTGGGGGCAGTGATCTGACGTTAGTCCTGAGGTTAGTCGGGCTGCAGTCCTTTTGTGGTCTCTCTGTGTCTCTGAAATAGTGACTGTTCCTGCCACACACCCCCTCCTCCTCCTGAGAGCCACTGCCAAGGGCCTTTGCTGGCTGCATCGCTGAGACTGTGGGACTCAGTTTAAGTGTGAGGAATTCCTCCAGTCATTGGTGGTAGGTTTTCAGGGTCCCTAAAGGGCTGGGCTACCGTGGGCGCTGCCTGTGCTGTCTGGACCGCCCCCCACACACACTCACACACCAAGCAGATGAAGAAGTAGGCTGGGGTCTGAAGATTGAGGCCTTCTGCTGGCTCTGTGGGCTTTGTCAGTGCTGTGGGATTTAGCCTTTTCATGTAACTGCTCCCCAGAGACGAGTGAAAGGAAAGGGGAGCAAAGGCATTTGGGATAATTGGACTTCTTGCTGCACAGCAAGCTGAAGTTTAGAGGGGAGAAAAGGCTTCAAAGTGGAAGATTCCAGTTGTATAGAGAAAAATGGTCGACTGCCTCCTTCACCCCTTGGGTGAGCAATCCATGCTCTTCACTGCCCTCTGGACCCCAGTGTCCCCCACCCAGCCCCTCCCATGCACACTACCTCCTTTCCCCTGCATGGGCAAACACAGCAACTTTAAAGAGATGGAAAGGATCTACACTCAAGCTGAAGCAGTTTCTGTTTGTGAAAATTGTCTCACTGCTCTGCAACTCTCCACCAAGATTCTCTCTGTCTCTTGCCACTCCAATTAATCTTGTGGTTCGCTGGGCAGCACAAAGCGCCACGTAATGCCCTCCTCTGTGGCCCTCAGTCCAGCAAGTGCACAGCCAGGGGGCAGCCTCTTCACTCTTCTCTTCTGTTGTGGCAGAGGATGAGCCATTTCCAAATGTGCAGCCCCCTCAAGGGAGACACAGTGAACCAGTTCAGTGACAGGTGCCACAGCTACGCCTTCATCATGTTATGACAAAGCAGGGCGAGGCTGAAAGGAGCTGATTGAGACAAGGATTTGTACCCTGTCTTGACTTCCACAGGCTCTGAGGTTTTTTTGTACTCTCCTGTTTCTCCTTCAAGGAGCCTGTTGCTATAGGAACCTGACAGGTTGATTTAATTGTCTCTGCTGGGATGCGGACACTTTTAGGCTTTTCCCAAGCTGAGGAAGAGCCAATCAAAAGGGTTTTCTGGTCACTTAGGACCTTGGCAACCTGGCAGGAGGCATAGTGATCCTGTCTTCTCACTGAGCCTGCTTGGCAGTTCCCCTTTCTCAGAAGCTGCACAGCCAGTCCTGGAAAGAGCCAATGTCAAGGCAGCGACATGAAACACCTACAACTGGCCACTGCATTTTGTTTGCTTGTTTTTAGAATTAAGCCAGAGAAGGTAATTTAGAAAATAATTAAGTAAGGTACAAAAAGATTTAAAGAAGTTTTATTTTAAATATGCATTTGTGCATTTTTATGAATAAGACCTGGATCCTAATCTTTATTATTCAGAGCAAAACTTGAAACCTGTCCCAATTGTTGTAGATACTAAACTAGATGTATAAATGCCATGCCCATCTTTAGCTTTATCCATTGATCCGGCTTCAGACATGAACCTATCATCTGAGTACTGAGAAGGTTTCATTGTGCCTTCTGGTCTACCAACTCACTGACCATCCAACCCATTTGAAGCTTAAAAGAAACCAGACTAAATGGATTACAAATAGATTCTCTCTGTAATTGTGCAGATAATTGCATTCCTAACTTTCTTTAAAATGCATATACTTTATATTTAAAATAACACATTCATTTTCTACCTTTACCCACTTTTGTTTGTTGGTGAAAGGGGGGGTGAGAACGTAATATGAGAAACTTGTATTCCTTTTCTCTTATATCCTTAGACTCTCTGAGTCCCTAACAGAGAAATGGGAAGTTTAAGGTCTAAGGAAAGACAAAGAAGAACTCTTCACTCTGTTGAGAAAAGCACAATACACTAATTCAGGCTAACAAGAAGAAAAGTAATCATGACATTTTTCCATCATTGAATATGCCATTACCCAAGTATCAAGCACATAATCTCAATTATCTACCACATTGATTATATGTCTAATTAAATCCAGGGGAAAGCTCAAAATTCCATCTTATAATCTGTTCCCACTCCATCCCAGTCACAATTTCATCTCATCAGAGCTGATAATATACATATCAAATACTTCTCTCTATCTGCCCAATCTCTGGTTGGGATTTGACAAATGTCAGAAAGGCAGGTGGCAGGAAAGACCTGGATAATGTGGAGGCTGAATTATGAGCTCCCAGAAAGCTGGGTGTATTTAGTTGATGCATACAGTTTAACAGTTTCAACTTTGGGTTATACTGATACAACACAGGAGATCAATGCTTTTGCCACGAATAACCCTCCTGGTCTAAACCAAAAGGAGGGTAAGAGATTAATTAGAGGAGCAAGTTTGTCAAATGGAATAGTTGTAATGTTTTAAAAAAAAGGTATATAACTGGTATTATTCCTTGATTTAGTAGGACTTGCAAAGATAAACACAGAGATGTGGACAGACTGATGGAGGGACTGCATTGGGGGCGGTGGTAATGGGTGGGGGAGTGGATGAAGGAGCTGGGTATCTTGAGGGGAAATGCTTTTGGATCTGGAGCAAGGTACCAAGGTGGGCAGGGAGGCCACGTGCAGATTTAAAGGCAAGCCAGATGGAGAGAAGTTCCCCCCAGATAACCCAGACCCCAAACCCAAGAACACCAAAACAAACTCTACGGGATCTAGCAATAGCAGCAGCACGGCCTCATTGCGCTGAGCAATTTAGAAAGTGGAAGAAGGCAGAGAGGAGGGAAAGGGGCTTGGGAAAGGGAAGGGGAGGGGGAAGCAAAACAAAATAAAACCACAAACAGAACGATTCAAATAAAAAGAAACAAACCAATAACAGAATAGAATTGGTAACTCCTTTTTTTTTTTAATTTCACAAAAGTTTTCACAAGGACAACGTTATAGAAGAAAACCCCAGCAGTGGCTAGTTCATGCAGAACCATTAATTGTCATACCTTGGCCCATTCTATTCATCCTTGTTGCACTTTAGAGAGAGAAGTAAGCTATGTGAGTTTTACAATGCTTTTAAACTGTCATATTTCCTGTTGAGCACTTTAACTGGCACAGTCTTATAGTTATAAATGTTCTGAGGGCATAACTTTATAACCTCCTTCGCAAAGGATGCATGAAGAGTTCTTCATGATCCCAAACAAGGGGAGATATAGATATATATACATATGTGTGTGTGTGTATATATAAGTGCACACATATTTATATATAGTTAGAGAGAGAAATGGATAAGCTATAAGTAAAATATAAATTAATAGATAGGGTCAAAGTAATTTGAAAAATAATCTACTTAATAGGGCTCTTAAGAGACATGTATATAATTACACCCCACACCATTTCTGGTTTGGATACTGCAGGGCCCCTGTCTTTGGTACGGGGTAGAAGCAGGGTAGACGTTCTGACTGAGCCTCACCATTTTGTCAGTAAAAGTGCTTGTCAAATCACACAGCAAGCAAACCTCCAAAACTACCATGCTTGGGGAGGTAAAGGATCCAAAATCTAAACCCAAAGCATTCACCATAAAAACACCTTTTTCGAGAAGGTACAGCTTTCTCCTTCACTTCTGCCCCTGTTCTGCTCAATAAAAAATTTAAACATTTCAAATATGTATATACCGGTCCAGGGCTAGCCCATCCCTATGAATGTCAGAATTTGGTGTTAATGAAGTTGACTAATTCTTGAGACTGACTGTACTACTTAAAGCCTGAGTTGCATGCATAAACAATTGAAAAGACTATTTTGAAAAAAGGGTGTTCCCCCATCTTTCCTCTTGTGCTACTAAGTGTTTTTTTTTTTTAAAAAGAAGAAAATAAGTCTATCATACTGTGTTTGGCTCACTACCAGACTCTTCCTATCTCCCATCTCATAAAGAGCAGTTCTCAATTATTTCATTCACCTGCCCAGGTAAGTTGGCTTGTGCAGGAAATCGGTGGTGAGCGTTTTCTCCCACCAGCTTTCTGCATTGGGACAGCCAGCATCAGGCAGCTGTGCCAACGGCTGACAGGGGTTTACAGTAGAGGCTGGCTTTTGTCTTCGCGGAATCAACCGTGGATTGATCCTCCTATGTTCTGATTTCTTTAGCATGTCGGCTTTTTAGGATAACAGGATCTGCTGCTGGGTTTATCTTTTTCTTGCCATACCATTGTCCCAGCCCCTGCTCCTGACTGGCACTGGGGCCATGGCAAATCAGACAAAGGGGAGTCAAAAGGTCCCCTGAGAATGCGTGCAAAAATACTTGCTCTTTCCTGAGCATTATTTATTCTGTACATAAGGAAAGTAATTCACCTTTTAAAAGATGTAGAAGTCCCAGGAAGGCAGTTTTTTTTAATGACTCACATCTGATATTTATGATACATATGGCTTTTCATCCCAAATGTCAAAAGTGAAAGAAAAAAAATAGCTATTCATATGGCAGCATAAGGAGACAGAATAACAATTTAATATGCAACCAAACCTTTTTTTCCACCTAAATGAAATCCCTAGGACTTGAGACTTCCATGCATGGAGTACTATTCTTTTCTTGTATATTAAGGTGAGAAGTGCTGATATAAGCTCCCAAAGAGAGATAGCTTTGGGAAGGAAGGCCTTGGTGAGTAAATGAAACATCTCTGCTGTTCTCTTACCACAAGCGGGTGTTTAATAATCATCTACACACACAGTGAAAGCCTTTCAAGTGCTTTGTGATAGTTCAGCCCAGAGAGGAGAAACAATCGATAGGTTCTCATTGCTTTTTGGTTGCTTGCTTCAAATAAACTTGCGCTAACTTATTGTTTGTGTATAAAAAGAAACAAACAACAAAAAGGGAAACAACAACAACAAAGGATTAAAACCCAAAGCACCCTGCTACACAGGAATCAACTTTTTTTCTTCTAGGTTAAATAGACTTGCTTTGCGTGCAGTTGGCATTGATCACAAACACTTCCTCCTATCCTTGAACTCGTTCCTGCAAGTGAGCTATTTTATGTCTGGAGCGTGCCTATGGGTTAGTTCCCCCCTAAAATCATAAATAATTTTTGGTCCGTCTGCTTATTTGCTGTTTGTGCTCAAGGGTTTTATGGTGGTGAAATAAAAATGACAACCACATGCACACTATCATACATATGCAAAATATGTGTAAAAAAGGGGGGAGAGAAAACTACAGGGGGAGAAAGGGGAAGTTACTGTTGGGAACACCAACTGGGGGAATGAGTGGCAGATACAGTTTCACACACGGTGGCAGTGGATACACATATCAAAGCCGCTCTTCCTGCACGTACTTCTGTTTGTCCCGGGACTCCCTGGACTTGGGGCGGTTCGGTCTGTTTGCTGTGGATGGGATGGAGTGGATGGAGGAGCTCTTCTTGCTCGAGGACTGGGACGAATGGGAGGAATGGGAGAGGCTGGCTCGGGACTGGCCGGCGTTGTGGTCAAACTGCATTAAGCAGAAGATCAGGTCCGTGGGCACGAGCTCAAACTCGTACGGGGGGTTGGTGATGACGTACCTGGATGGAGAAGGAAAGAAGTTACAGTGTGATGATACCCAGAAGAAGGGCCGACTCTGTGACCCACAAGGAGCTGCCTGAGTCGGCCAGACGCCGAATACCATGGCACTCATCTTCCAAGTTTAACTTAAGCTTCATGACATCTTAACAGAGGAGCTCAGCTGTGGGCTTACAGAGGTGCTGAATTTGCACCAATAGTGGAGTAGCAGACTGCCATTACTCTAGTCTGATGTCCTGAACGACTTCAGGTTCACTTCAGAGCTTCAGTGGCCCAACTACAGAGTTGCAAGGACTAAATGCAATTCCACCCTAGAGTTTTCTGAGGACCCCAGACACACATCCAGGACTTAATCAATGACTCCTCAGTATCTTGACTTTCCTTACCCCTTAACTTTTAGGAATCAGTTTTGGTGAGAGCTAAGAATTTCAAAACCTCAGCTCATCACAATAAATGTGACTGAAAACAAACAACCCTGCATCCTGCAGGGCTTCTCAGCATGCCCTTCAAGACGAGACCCTTCAAGATCAGCATTATCTGAGAACTTTGTAAACCTGTCAGTCCTCAGGCCTTAGTCCCAGATCTATTGGGTTAAAATTTGGTGGGTTGTGCTAGTAATCTGCATTTTAACAAGCTCTACAGGTGACTCTCAGACAAACTAAATTTGGAGAATCTGTTGATCTAAAGCAACAGTTCTCAACTCTACCTATGTAATTAGATAAATATTTAAAATAAATATATAAAATAAATATATGTTAAATACAAACGTATGTACACATTCAAGAGTACGCAAACCAAGGTATTTTGTCAAGAGCAACTCAAGTAATTGATTCTAATATGAGGGATATGAACCAGGCCGAGAAACACATCTAAACTTTGCTTTGAAAGAGTTTGAAGTAAACTCACTCGCTTTTGTAATTCTGTGGTATGCTTTTCCTTTTTATCTGCTATGAATTAATTTTAATGCATATTGTTGTTGTTGTTGTATGCCATCGAGTCAAAATCAACCCATAGGAGACCCTCCAGCGTGTTTGCAGAGACAGCTAATTGCAGAGGAGTAGCAGCTGGTGAATTTGAACTGTGTTCCTTCAGGATTGCAGTGCAACTTCTTAAACACCAGGCCACCAGAACAAAATACAAATGTCACACCTGCATTGTGGGTTGTTTTTATGTTTGTTTGTTTTGTTTTTTAAATTTGGCCAAAAATGCAACTATACAATTTCCATAAAAATAAATAAATACATAGAAGCTAAAAGTGAAGACAATTAAAAAGATATGAAGTGAAAATACAGGATTTTATTATATGGTCAAGGAACTTGTTTCTCTGGCCACTGGTGATGTAATATATCTCTTTATTAGGTGCCTAGAGAAACTGTGGCAATAGCTGGAGTGAGAGGGAGATGCTTGTACTGTGAATCTGTTACTGAACGATGACACTATTAGATTAATTTCCCCCCACAGGTCTTCATATCAACTCTCTGGAAGGAGAAAAAGGCATCCCACAACTTTTGAACTCAATGTCATAATAACATTTAAGGCCACAGAGTAATCTGTGTGTCAATAATTTGTGCATAGATTCTTGCCATTATACTACGAATCAGACCTGCTGTGTCTGAACGGACTTCAAGGTGTCCAAATGTGATATACAGTACAACTACTCTATGGGTTTTCTTGGTTGTAATCCTTATGAAAGTGGATTACTTGGGCTTTCCTCTGTGATATCACTGAGTGGGTTTGAACCACCAAGTATTAGGCCAGCAGGTGAGTGTGACTGTCTGTGCTCTCAGAGGTCACGGTGAAGGCAATCATGCCTTTGCACTGGGGCTGAGCAAGCAGAGCGAAGACAGGGACTCACCTCTTGGTGCACTGACTGGGGGTGCTGAGGTGGGCATCTCTCAGCCGGTAAATTCCAAAACAAAGCATATTATATGTTTTTAGAGCTTTGCAGAACAGATCACCATAACAACCGCCGTCCTGGGAGACAACAAAAGAACAGAGAAATAGCACTGTTATTTGCCTGGAAGTGGAGATTCAGTTGGGGAAAGGGCTTTTATAGGAAAGCTCATTCTGGAAGCTCTGAGTTGGAGGGTCTGAGCCTGCGGCTGGAACCATCAATATGGTTAGCAGCCTGCCTGCAACATTGGCAGTTCCAGAAATCAGATGAGAGCCAGGTTTTCCTCTGCCATCTTACCAAGCTTCACACTTGTAGCATTGAGAATTCTGGGGACATTGGGCGTGTTCCTTACTGCAAATGAGGGCATAAAGCTTGAAGGTCACAAATGTATTTCATCCGAGAAGAAAACAGCTCTGCAAAATGGGACTGCATTTAGTCTCAGCTCAGTTGTATTCTGACCGTGTTGTCCAAACTGGCTGAGTGATAATTAAAATCACTATGAGGAGAAAAGCCTCTACCAGGTGTGCTGTTGACAAGCATTCCCAGGTAAGAACTGTGTGAAAAGCACAATTTACAGACCTCAGAGACAGCCAGTGTGGAAGAGAATGTGTTTCCCTAGTCGCTGGAGGTCTGTGGACTAAGTAACTGGGATTCACAGCTCTAATCACTTCACAAGTACCTTCTGAGAGTCTGGGGCCTGACATAGTTAGAACAGGAAAGTAAATTCTCTCGCTTGAAAACACTGGCTTCATGCCACCAGATGGCTTCACGGAGGCATCTTTAGAGGAGAGGCACTGAAGAATGGTTTCCCTAGTGGGAAAAAAACCAAATGTGACTGCGTTTGTTCCTACAATTGCATTTCAATATGGCCATTGTTCTTGCTGCTACGTTTCGCTGAACCAGCTCCAGTTCAAGGCCACCCTGTGCACAGCAGAACAAAATTCTGCTTGATCCGGTGCCCTTCTGACAAGCCCTGCTGTGCTTGGGCCCACTGATGCAGCCACTGTGTCAACCCATCTCATCCCCACCTTTGCCTACCCTTTATTTTTCCAAACATTATACTAAAGAAACCAAATGGGGCCAAATCTTATCGATCATCATCTTTTCAAAATGTTAAGGAATGAGTTCCTTGGATGGAGCAGGAATTCATTTTGATGCTCATAGGACTGTTCTGTGTAGAAGCCAAACAATGGCTCCGAGCAACAATCTAAGAGCATAGGAGTTGCCTTTCAAAAGAGCTTCGCTTAGCATAGGGCCCTGCCCATAACCAAACCAACACATGTGAAAGCCAACACCAGCATGTCCAAGAAAACAGAGAGGCTGCTTTAACTCCCTTCCCTCTGTTTGGTCAGATTTATAGCCCCTAAGCATCATGGGGCTTTCTCTTGAGCACACACACACACTAGGCTGGGAACATAGGTCAGAGCCGAGACTCAGACGTGTACATGGATGCAGAGGGCTGGTACTCTCGTTCTCCCTTTGCTATGGTTGGGGGGCTGGGGGCGGATAAGGAGAAAATGACCCAGGTGACCGAGATTAGTCTCAGAAATTGGAACTAGAGATATTTAAGGACACAAGTACTACTTGGTCTGTGAATAGAGGTTCTGAAAGTACATGATTGATTACCTGCAGCTTTGGGGTGATTTTTGGTTTTGGTATTATTTGTTTTAAATGCCAAGGCCTAAGTCATCACTAAACAAAAATAGCTGAAGGCTGGAGACCAGGGCAGAGAATCAGTGGATTTAAGAGATTCCACAAGAGCCATGACTGAACAGGCAGGACTGAACAGCCCTCGTCAGCCCTTGTGTGTCAAACCTGATTCAAGGCCCCCCCCCACCCGGACTCATGGCAGCCCCCCAGAATTTCCTGTAGCTGATTTATTTCAGGAGTAGATTTCTGACCGTTTCCTCCAAAGTACTTCTTAATATACTTGAACCTCCAACCATGATGTTAGCAGCTGAATGCTTTAAGAGTTTATCCTACTCAGGGATAACTTGAGTCTCCTTAGCTATACAAGTGCTCCTCAACCTTACCTGTTCCTTGGGATCACTGTTGCATCCCATCTCATGACAGAAGACACGAGAGGTGAGCGCCAAGCAGGGATTTATGCACACAGACTTTGAAGACAGAGTGTGCATTTCAGATTCTCTCTGTCGGGGCCTCAGTGTCCTGGAAGTACCTAGTAAGGGGACCTACATCAAAGGATTCTCATATGTATAAAATTAAAACTACACATAAATCACAATGCCTTGTGCATAGAAAATGAGCCATGATAACACCTCTTATAAATTATTTGGAGCTCAAGGTCCATACTCTGTAGGGAACCATATTCCTAACTCTTTGGTGGTTCGAATCTGCCAGTGTCTCTCTGTGGGAGAAAGTTGAGTAGTCTCCTCTCGTGCAGTTTACAGCCTCTGAAAACTTGTTGGAGAGTCAGCTCTAAGTCGATTCTGACTCAAGGACAATGAGGGTTTGTTTTGTTTAAATATAGTATCATTTGCTGTCCAAGACAGAAAAGACAGAAGCTCAGGTCTAACATGAAGGCAATCTGGAGGAAGCTGTTCCCAGTCAGTGGGTGCAAGTGATCCTGTGGCAGACACTCACCCCTAGGTCAGCAAAGGGACCATCCAGCAGTGCTAACTGGGCCACTCGGCAGCGGTCCCTGTTGGCCAGCGTCTGAGGGGTGCTGTAGCCACCTCTAAGCGCATTCTCCTCAGCAATAAGCGCTTCCAGCTCTGGTGTGGCTCCTCCGGTCACCAGGGTCCGTATCAGAGTAAGGATATTGTCATTGAAATATGTCTAGAGACAGAGAGAGAGAGGGGCATAAAAATTAGTCTTTTAAGCAAACATTCTTAAAGTCATAATAGCCGACATCCAAATTACAACTTTTCTTGGTCTCTTCTGTTTAAAGTTCTGGCCTGTCTCTTCAAATAATTTTATGTGGGAAGTGAAAAGACAGCAGCCTCCAATTATCCCATTTTTTTTCTCTCGCGCGTCTGCTTCTGCTATGAGAGCCTTCTTTTTCACTCTATATTTTTTTCCCTCAAATCCTGTGACCACATAAATAATTGGCGCACACATGTAACACGGAGAAATGAGGATGTTATGCAAAAACATTATGGCATAGTGTGCCTATGCACGCATGAAAGAGAATTTCGGCCACATTCATCCTCATTCAAGAATCTGAAAACACGACCTTTGATCATATTTGTATAAGATATAGGACCTGAAGCACTTGTGGCTGAGGGTCAGGGACTGCGGCCTTCAATATGGATTGAGGCTCAATGTCAAGAAGACAAAGATTCTCACCACTGGACCAATTGGCAGCATCAGGATGGATGGCGGAGAGA